GAAGCGGTGAAATCGTAAAAAAATGCGTGACGTCATACGATGACCAGGGACCGCGGAGGCATTTTTTTGATCGAGGGGAGAGGGTTAACCAACGCCAAAGGTATGAGCCTTCTGGGGGGGGGGGGGGCTACAGAAAATTTTGAAATATGAGGCCCGGAAATGCAATAAGACCTGCCAGTTTCTCTTAAAAACGTTTCTTGAACTACTCTTAAGCAAGCCATTATATAGGGGAGAAATTTATTCGCTTAGTACGTTTTCTTTGAATAGATTTTTTCTTCGAAATATAATGCCGTATTTAAGAGTAATTTAAATTGCATTTTCTATACTTATCGTCCCAACCTTTCTTAGAAATGCTTTTCTAGAAAGTGCGAGCCCACCAATACAAAACAAGAAAATAATAAATGGAAACAAACATGAAACACCTCTCCAGCGTACTAATGAAGACTGAACTAATCTACATACGTAGAAGTCTATGATAGTCCAAACTGACTAATCCTGCTGAAGTTTTTTAAAAATTAAATACCTTTTTTGAGATTGCAAATGAGATCCAGGATTGTGTGTCTAAAGCTCTCCAGGTCCCCCTGCTCCGCGGATCCTGATGACGTCATAAATGTTCGAAAATACAGAGCCTAAATGCATAATTATATGAAACAATGAAATCAGATAAAGTATCGATTTATTAAGGACGCCATTTTAGTAATTTCGATTCTCTTTCATGAAAAAGTAGTCAAGTTTTGTTTAATAGTGTTTTATCAGACACTTTAGCGTAAAGTAAAATAGTTATACATAGCTATACAGATATTTTTAACGTACTTTTTAAATTATAGGTTGTTAAAGTAACGCAGTTCAGGAGCACAGCTGTAATGCCGCTATTCTTAATAAAACTATCAAACTATCAAACTGAAAAACTTAATAAATTCTCGATTTTCTAAAGTATAAGGGGCTCAACCCCACCCCCACCAGAGCTTAAAGAAGGGGGGGGGCTCCGCCCCCAAGCGACCCCCCACTTCTACAGCACTGATTTGCTCGATTTGGTATACCTAAGACTGTAGTTAGTGACAATGGTCCTCAATATTCTTCACATCAATATAAAACATTTGCGAAAGACTGGGGTTTCCAGCATGATACGTCAAGCCCCAGATACCCAAAGAGTAATGGATTTGTAGAAAGTGCTACTCAAACTGTAAAGAAGACCATAAAAAAGGCTCTTCAAAGTGGCGATGACCCTTGCCTTGCACTACTTGCATTACGTTCAACTCCTGGAACTGTCAATTCCCCTTCCCCAGCATTTAAGTTAATGAATCGCCATCTTCGAACGCCCCTACCTTCAGTAAAAACTGAGAAAATATCACCTACTTTGCTTGGGTCACAAAAGGTTAAAGAGTGTCACGTTCAACATTCAAAGAATTTGCGACCTCGTAAAGAAGGACAATCAGTACGAATTAGGGATGGTAAAACATGGCATGTGAAGGGAAAAGTAATGGAAAGAGTTTAGCAGCCAAGATCCTATGCTGTTAAAATAGGGAAAGGGATAATCATTCGTAGAAATAGAAGAGATCTTCTTAGCACGCCGGAAAGATTTGATCTGCGTGACGCCGTTGATGATGAAATGGAGATACCACCTAACCCTTTAGCGGTACAACTACCACAACCAGATCAACCAACCTTTACTCCCAATCATCCACCTCTACTCTCGTCAAGATCTGCTTTCTGATCGTTCTGCGCGCAGTCAAGACAACCTTGTGTTCGAAACAACAGTGAACAGGGTATCGTTCTGGTAGAGTTGTAAAGCCACCTACTCATCTGCGAGACTTTGTGAGATCATAGTTATACCTGAATTGTTCTATTTTCAAAACATTTACTTAAAAAGGGGGGTGTAATGGTATGTTAACTTATTCATATTATTGCGTACATGCCTCGTAATAATATAAATTTCAACTCATTTCAACTGAAATTTCATTTCAGTTAAATTTGTTAGTACAATCTAATACATATGGGCTTGTTGGGTTTATTTTAATATGAGTTGCGTGCTTTTCTTTTAACTACGCTATTGTTGCAGGTGGCAATGTTTGCATAATTACCAAAATGTCTTATCCAGTACGTTTTTACATAAAATGGCAATCTTTTCTAAAATTTTTTGGCAAAAAGATTGTAGAGATAATTACTACCTGTGCATGTCCCTTGGCATTACAAGCATATATTTTAAACCACGTTGATGAAACTGTTTTTCATGTACTATTGTTTTTTATGTTTAAGGTTAAAGACTGTGATTAGGTATATAGATATTAGATTGATATTTATTGATACATTGTATAGAAGAACCACCGACTCTTGTTGTTTGATTGAGGATTTAGTTTTAGAAAACATTTTTTGATTCCTATTGATCAAACTATCAAAAAGAGTGAGGATTTTCCATCTAGCACTGATATTATTTGAAAATTATAAAGGCAGAATATATTCAACATTGTTCAGACTGACTGTCATCAGTAACTTTATTGTAAAGCACTTGCAATGCAATTTGATAGTCTGTCAAGGTTTATCTTACAGTAGTTCAAGTTTATATTTTTTGCAAATAATACTTGTTACCTTTCTGTCTAATAAGTTAACGTGCTATTTACAAATAATATATATTTGCCTAGGTAATGTTGATCAGTTTAAGAATTCAATCGTTAAGATTCTTTTTCTTCCCACAGCTTGTCAGCAAGAGCATTTCTTACTTTCTTTGCTTGTGCATTGGAATTTCTTATTTTCCTACACTTCCGTCATGTGGAGTTCATCTCGAATTTCTTCACCGGATTTCCTTGCATTGGTGGTTTGGTTAAAAGTAACATCCAGTGTAGCAAGAATGGCATCTCCCTTTGCAATGCAAATATTATGTAATACCAAGCATGTTAGTGTTGTCGTTGTAACTTCTTCTGGAGTGCTCTCATTCTTCCTCAACATGATTCTCCACCTCAACATAATTACCCTTGCTACCTTCCTCCCACTATCTGGGAGTGCCCCCCGATTTTGAATTTTATCCCACATATCTGTTGCCTGAAAGATAATAGAGTCATGTGAATTCCCCGGAAACGCACAGCTTCCCCATAAGAACCTGTACCTCGAGTCAACCATAGCCATAAGGACCACTGAATAAAGGTTCTTAAAGTTGTGGTACACTTTACAAGCCTTAACACCACCTGGTGGACATTTGATTGGTATATGATAATGACATCCATCTACTGCACCCCGGCAGAATAGAAATTACCACATACTGTTCATACTATCTATCAACTTTTGAAAATCTTCCTCAACAACTGGCGTTAAATTGGCAATAAACTCATTCCACAGGTTTTCAACAATAGATTGGCATACTTCTGAAACTATCCCATGAATCGTTGATACACACAGACCAGTTATTCCTGATAGAGGGTAATAATAATCGTCTGTTGTCAAGCGATACAGGCAAATACCGAGACGACATTCTGGTGATATTGGACATTCATTAACTGTCTTTCGCACCAACTCGTTGCGAATACTATTTAGTGTAAATATGAATGTATCTCTTGACACCCGAAATGTACGTCGCTTAAACCGTTCAGCAGAATAAGTGTTCCAAACCAACTCCTATCAACCGTCGTTTCTTTCAAGCCTTCTGCACGAACGATGAACTTCTTTCCTTTGTAGGGAGATCTGCATCATGCCCAAAATACTCATTAAGATTTGCAAGCGTTTTCTTCTCATTGCAATTATGAGTATTGATATGCTTCTTAACATTTGTCTTCGCCATCTTGCTTTTCATAATATCATTTTCCTTGAATTTGTCGCCTGTCCAGGACGCGTAATATTGAAATTGAAATTCGCGGGAAAAATAAAAATAAAACCCAGTCCCCTTTTTTATCACAACCAAATCAAATTAAGTTTGGCGTAATTAAATACGCCGGATGAATCAACTGCCGTACTTAATTCGTACCAAAGCCGTACTTAATTCAATCGAATTTGGCACATGTGAAGTACGGCGTATGAAACGGGCGTAATGAGTGGCTTCAAAGAATGCGGCCAAGTTATCGTCCCAGTTCCCATAGAGTTTACCGTCTCAATCATAAGTGATAGTTGGTCCCCCTATGAAATTGGCGAAGAAAAGCTACTCCTGGAACATATCAATAGATGACCCGTCGATATTTTAACCCGTTCTTTTCTCCCTTCTTGCGCCGCCTTCGACTTTTCGCGCCCGCATTCCTTACTTGTCGGCGATCAACTGTACTCCTTGACAGGTCATGAAGAGTGATAACATAATGACTCCGAGCCATTTAAAAGTTTACAGAACTTCGAGAATAAATAATCGATGATCAAGGGAATCAAGTAGTTTTTTTAAATATGTACATTATTACATCGATCATAACTCATAGTGGGACCCCTTGTAGCTGTACGTCTCGAGTTTGCACTTACCTGAAAACATCGTTACGCCAATTAACTGAAATTTAGTTCTGCCACCAGTGGCGGCGCCAGGCCTCAGAATTTGGGGGGGCATTTGAGGGGCAAACTCATATTTTGGGGGGGCAAGATAGAATTTTTAAAAATGTACTGCTATTTGCCCATGCCGTTGTCACAGGACTTTTGTCCCCCCCCCCCGCAGGAGATTCGCTCCCCTCTCAAAAGGGGGCGAATTTTAGCTATTTGGTCTGCATTCCTTGTAAAATTTTTATCCGTTGACGGTATTATTTGTTTTTGAAAACTGAAAATTCGCGTCGCGTTGCCGAACGCGTCCGGTCTGTGTCGGCCTTTACACGTTTGAGAATTTAACTTTTCAAAACTAAAGCTTTTTTTGTCTTTTTTTGAAACGTATTATTGGAGTACTGGCAAGTTTTACCATTCAGAGATTTACAAACTAATATTGAAACTGTAAAAGACAGTTTCATGTATACGCGCATTCACTAATGAGTAATGACAACTTATAAGCCATACATTTTCTGATGATAACAAAACGCTTATGTAGCCTTTAGTCGCTCTCAGTGACTAATAAATTTTTTTGAGGGGGTGGGGGCAAAAAATAATTTGGGGGGGGCATTTGCCCCCCCCCCCCACCTGGTGCCGCCACTGGGCCCTCTGTCAGGAAGTTAATAGCTACAGTACTAACTTCATGCTACTAACGTCCAGGAGAAGGGCTTTCACTCGAAACATTGAAGTTCTGCTTATATTTTACAGATAGTTGTATCTCTCTCAATCAGCATCATCCATTTAATTAATGTCTGCTCCCGAGGAGCGATTTTGTTTTCCCGAGTCTCGATGATTCGTCGAGGAAAAAACATTTCCCAAGGGAACATGCAGTCATTAAGCGTTTTGTTATATATAGCGACAAACAAAAATCAACATTAACCCATTAAGCGCCAGCGCTCTCCCCTTGACGAGTAAAATCGTCTGGCGTTAGACAGAGTAAAATACTAAAGTAGGGTGCATCAGGGTGTAATGCGACTCAATGGGTTAACTAGACACATGGGCAGATAGGCCAGTTAACCCATTAAGCGCCAGCGCTCTCGCCTTGACGAGTAAAATCGTCTGGCGTTAGACAGAGTAAAATACTAAAGTAGGGTGCATCAGGGTGTAATGCGACTCAATGGGTTAACTAGACACATGGGCAGATAGGCCAGTTAACCCATTAAGCGCCAGCGCTCTCGCCTTGACGAGTAAAATCGTCTGGCGTTAGACAGAGTAAAATACTAAAGTAGGGTGCATCAGGGTGTAATGCGACTCAATGGGTTAACTAGACACATGGGCAGATAGGCCAGTTAACCCATTAAGCGCCAGCGCTCTCGCCTTGACGAGTAAAATCGTCTGGCGTTAGACAGAGTAAAATACTAAAGTAGGGTGCATCAGGGTGTAATGCGACTCAATGGGTTAACTAGACACATGGGCAGATAGGCCAGTTAACCCATTAAGCGCCAGCGCTCTCGCCTTGACGAGTAAAATCGTCTGGCGTTAGACAGAGTAAAATACTAAAGTAGGGTGCATCAGGGTGTAATGCGACTCAATGGGTTAACTAG